GCACCCGCACCCGCACCCGCACCCGCACCCGCACCCGCACCCGCACCCGCACTTTAGCGTTGGTATTTGTGAATATTCTCACACTAGAATAGGGCTTGCTGAGCAAAAGAGTCTGCAGTCAAGGTAATTAACACAGTACCGGTAATTTGGAACATGAAAAAGTTCTATTGAGGCTCTTGCGTACGAAAGACAAAAGCCTTCTTGACGCTAATCAGAATAATGTGATCAACCTCGAAGTTCGTTTTCAGAAGACTTTGTGCTACCACCATTAAAGCTTTGTCGTAAGACTCTCGTGACAAAACTTTGCAGCTCCTTATCCTTTTTTAAAGAATTTAAACGTTCTTAGAAGCTGAGTTTTTCGGCTTTCAGTCGCGGCGAGATTCAAGAAGGTACTACCAAAACGCTCTGGAAGCAATATACAAGATACAACTCCTAAGAAGGCAAAACATGAAAAATTCGGCTTCGCCTCGTGAAACATCGAGACCCTCGGGAAAACAAAACTAACTATTTCCCTCGCGACCAGACATTAAGTGTATAATGTAACTAAAAAATTACAAAAGCGAATGGCTTGTAGGAAATTATTATAATTTTGAAAAAAATGGTGTTTTTTTTCCTTTCTTTTCCTTTTTTCGTTTGCTTGCTAAAAGTGTTTTTTAATTGGCAAATTCAATTCGGTTATGGTGCATGGTGAGAGAAATGAAATCATCTGCCACGGTGTTATTCTTTACAACCATCTTTGGCTTTAGAAAAATAGATGAATTTATCACTTCTCTCAGGGAGTATAAAGCTGTTATGGGACCATAAAACTAATTACAATAAATGATTAAAAATAGAAGCAATTAGCTAGGATAAAGTAAAGATGACACAAAATATTGCCAGCGCGCCACAACTCATGCATTTGGGGGTATCGAAGATTTGGGCACGCTTCAATGAAGGTTTCGTAAACATTCTGCACCTGTTTTTCTTTGTTTTAATATCATTTTGGATTCACTGAGCCGCTTTGGCTGGGTATGTTGGTAGTTCAAACGGAATCTCACACCATTCAGGCCCAAAAATCTCAGTAAGTTATAAGTGAGAATTCAGTTAGTTTACTTGTGTTTTTCCACTAACAGATAGTTTGTGGCGAGGCCAATCATTCTACAGTCCATCTACGTTATAGTCAGTTCAAAAAATGTTGTCGTCGACCAACTCAAGCCTACGCGACTGGACCGAAAGGAACTCTGGGTAGCAATCATTGAAG